ATGTAAATTCTGGCGTATAATGCCGATTTCAAGTTAATTACTACTTGCATTTCTAAACGAGACTACAATTATAAATCCACAATAGCATGGTTTTATCATTTTGCTGCAACTTTGACTACAAATTATAGATAGGAACTGTGTGCCCACTCTGCACCATGTAACCCTGTATAGTCTGCCCTATAGCTGCAAGATTCTACTAAATGGATGCTTTTATCGTTCAATGCTAACATCTGCTAAATCACTCCATTGTTTCTTCAGCAGATGGCTTGTCACGAGGCCAGATAATAAAGATATGTTTACACTGTATATACAGCCAGACTAATGGTCTGATACCGATAGGGCCTGTTTGCTGTGTCGATACTAATTAGCCAAGGAGAGCCAATGAAAGCTTTCTAACAGACTGCATGTTAAAACATTAGGTTCATTAAGCTTCATTAGCAAGGCAGAAACAAACATTTTGGTATATGAAATAAATGCATTTTTATAATGTTCATAATCATTGCATAGACAGAATGTTTTGACCACTTTACATTTGGCTACATTTATGAATTGTTTTATTTTCCGAGGGACATTTATGCTCTTAAAAGCAAACAATCTTTTCAAACTGCTTTAATGTAGAGGTGGTCATGATCTGATTTATTATGATTTGGAAAACATCAGCTTTGTTTATTATTTTTCTAACAGTAAGCTTAGTAAGAGGCCAAGACAAATTTCGAAGAAAGATCTTACAAGAAAAAAAATTGCATTCGCTTTTTTGTTTTATTGTATAGTGTTTTATATAAAACCGTAACATTTTGTGTCTAGGCTTGGACCATGCTTTTATGGTGTTAAATCTTCTACAAAATCATAGAACTTGATATTCAGAATCACCTTTTAAAGTTGATGACAGTCTAGAGTTCTTTTAAAGATAACCAAATCATGTAAATTACAGAATTACATTAGACTAAATTACAGAAATTAAAGAGCTAACAGCTTAAAGCAAACATCTAGAAATACAAAATAGGCAGTTTGCACAACACTCATTAAAAGCCAAAATTTCCAGGCAGTTTGACAGATTGACTCTAAAATTCAATAACAAACACATAAAAAAAACTAACAGAAAAATATATACTTTATAAAAAGTTAAATGATTTTTTGCAGTACTTGGCTCTTATGAGAAGGTTATGTTTATAGGTTTTATGTTCAGCCTTCAGACCTTCTTAAGCAAAAACAAAGCCATTAGTCTAGGCACATACGCAATTTGTGCCATAAGTCATGATCTTCAAACTCAATCCAAACAGCAATGCTAATAAAAACTAGCTGCAGAAATGCAAAAAGCACTGAGCTGTGCAAATGTAAATGACAAGCTTGCCAATCCATTAAAACTAATGGCCTGCACTGTCCAAGCATCTCTGGTTGAATTCACATGCAAATTTGTATGCAAAATGTTCAAGCACTTTTCAGGACATGATATACCATTAATATCAACTCACATTTTTATTCTTGAGGCAAGATACCTTTATTATATAGCAGAAACACACAATGAAAGCAAATGAATTACCTTCTAGTCTACCATGCTTTCCTAAGACCTCTACCAGTGCTACATACTTTCCAGTGTCAAGAGCAACAGGTGAATTCTTAGGGAAGCTAGAAATTAAAAGATTAAGAATTGTATCAACAGAAGTTCACATTTTATGGATTCAGTTTAAAGGTTTATTTTTAAAACTACATAACAAAACATCAGCATTGAGAGCTAAAAGTTATAATAAGTATTAAAGGAAAAATCTGATAGACTTTAAAAGATACACCATTAAAACGTGATTTAAAAATATTTTCCACACATTTTCCCACGCCCAAACCCCAAAAGTTATATTTTAAAATGGTTTAATTAATTATTTGGTAGTTATTCCATAAAACAGGTATTTCCCAGAAGCCTGGGAAGAAAACTCAGTCCATGTGGCTGGGGCAGGGCTATATTCTTTTCGATAAAGAACATGAAACTATTCGCCTATAGTAACAAGTTCAGAGCTACTCTTTTGAAGTTTCTGCTGTGTATTTTTTTTTCTCTTTTCTGGAAGTTTTAAAATTCATTCTTCTCTGTTGTTTCTTTTTGTAACAATTCAAAGAATCACTTCTTAGCAATATTATGCTACACTTGAGGCAGATCAGTAAAAATGTGCTACTGCCATGAAGCTCCAGTAGAGCACTCAATTTTACTTCATGCAAGCTCACTATGAGGATTGTGTGAGAGTGGTAGTACAGCCAAAACCAACACACTACGAATTATTTGCAGAGTGGCAAATTTCGTGATATTCATAACTCAATCATTTCACATAAGTTCAAACACTAGCGAGGTGTAATGAGCACCTGCCTGCTAACCTACTGTAAAACCAAAGCAAATACTTTGAGTGCATATGAGATAGAGAACCTGAAAGTAACACATAACTTGTTCTATATTCACTGCAGTATCAGACTGAAAGGAGGCTTTCAAGGGAAAAAGGGAAGGGGCAAATAGGAAGATTATCTGTAAGAATTTGCTCCGGGGTAAGTCATGCATAGCATGTTTTAGCTGGGAGCTAATTTTCACAGCCAAAATACAAAGCTCTGAAAATAAAAATTTAAAGTAGAAAGTTTGTTGACAGTCTTAAAATAATGTCACTCAAACATTGCTATTTTAACGACAATATAGGTGCAGCATATTCTAAACACATTTTATGTGCTATTCTAACACATAATACAGGTACTTTTTTCCCCCCTTCAATTTAGGCATTATGTATGTTTAAAATAAAAACAAAACAGATCCTATGTAGCAATTTGCCTTTACCAAGGAAAAAAAAAAAAAGGTAATTACTGACCATACAAAGTAGCTGCTTCTGATGTTCAATTATACAAAGCAAACTGTTGTTTTAAAAAACCACACCCTTGACTGTTTTAAATGCACATACATTGGTGGGGAAAACTAATTAAAAATGGATGAGGGGGTTAATACTCAACCTACTTAATTCAACAAGGTCTGTGTATCAGCATAAATCTCTGTGACATGTTTCAGTGCCGGTGTACTTACACTTTTTCTTTCAGGTTCATTGCCTCTTCTACATTATCATGTCGACAGCACAAATTTATTAAGGCTGCATAGCCACCGACAACCATGTCCGGTTCGTATTTGGCTTTCACTTCAAGGGCTTTTTGCATATTCTAAAAAAGGAACAAAGCAAAGATGTGAACTAGAGGAAAAGTCAATATGACATTATTCTTATATGTTCAGTGTGCAGTTACATGACTGCTTTAGTGCTTTTAGTAGTGTAAGATCACATTTGGAAACAGTGTTCTACTGCTTTAGCGAATTTTAAGACTGAATTCTGCAGAATTTAGTATTTTTCTAAAACACCTTTTAGATAAACTTGAGAGTAGATTTCTACATAAATTTTCTTGCTTTACATTTATATTTTTAGCATGTTTTAATGTAATACTTATTTTTAATCCCGACAGACACCATAAACATGATTAACCCAAATTCTAAAATAGTTCTTATTTATTTGGAATTCATAACAATTTTCACCTGGTACACTGCCAAACACATAACAAAACTACTTTCTAAAGAATAAGAAACTACTTCACGATCCCATAGAAAGCTTATTTTTTTTAGTACATTCCTATTCATACATCTGACCACTTTGAGCTTACAATGGTGTTTGCTTCTAGTCTTATTTCACATACAAAATCGTAGAAACAGACAGCTGAGAATCACTCTTTCTAAACTGTATTCTTAGCAACAGAGAATATTGTGTTACCATCTGCATGACTGTTACTGTTCCTGTATATACAGCTTTATAGGCAGGATCATACTGAACAAGAAACTGAATAAACTGTGGTGATACCACACAAATTACAGACACACACTGAATGAATGTAGACTACAGCTGGACGCCTGCCGAATGAAGGCAAGAGACCCTTTATCTCAGAAGAGCTTTCCTCCTGCAGGAAAATGGAATTTCAATCCCTGCATTAACAACCTAGTAATATTTGAATTGCAAATGACTAGTGCATGTATCAGTTGCTTGACAATCTAGATATAAGAGACCGGAGCCATGGCTTGAAAGGACATTTGGCATGTATGATAAACCTATCACAGCTGTTACTATCATTCACTCTGCAGATTATCGTAAACAAACTTCAGCAACCCCAAAACATGCCATTCAAGGTGTTGCTGAAATTAGTTAACCTTTCGATTTAATTGCTTTTTGCACTTATGTTTGATTTATAAGCATCAAACCATGCAAGCATTGCACTTGTCTTTGCTTAACTATGTCTTTCCATAATACAGTCATTTACGTCCCTTTAAAAATATAGCTATGTGTTTCCAATTATCTCTGCATTGCTTAAGATACCTCTTCTTCACAAAGAGCATGTATGAGTTGTTTCAAGACATCTGTAATAGGCTGGTTTTCAGCTTTTTGCTTTTCTAGTTTCTTCTCCAAAGCAGACACGTCAGATTTAGCACTCTAAGTGGAGGTAACAGAAAGAATGTCAATTGCAAAAACACCCTTCCCCGAACAACTTGTCGGATCACTTTAACAAAAGACAGACAAAATAATCCTCTTCTTTCATACTACAAGGAATTTTTTAATCATTTAAGGTGCTTTTATCTGTTTAAATACTACATACTAATTGAAGATTTGAGTCAGAACACAGTAAAAAAAGGCATTAAGTAGCATATCTACAAAGGTCAACATTACTATTTCTCTCGTACTCAGTTCTTTGTGTTCAGGGAAGTAGGGAACAGAAGCCTGTTCCTTTTTCCATCTCCACTCTGCTCAGATCAGAGATGTAAAGACTTGACACTCCACCATTACAAGCAGTATGGATTTATATGGTTCCTGCCACTCAAGTGGATCACTGTAATTTACAAGCATGAATTAAGCCTCACACCACCACTGCTAACTAGAACTTTCAAAAAAATATTTACCAGACAGGGAAACTGAGGCATGAAACCTCAGCCAACTCCAAGGTCAAGTATCAGGTCTAAGTGAAAATCGGGATAGCCTTTACTCCTACTCTGGAAAGTAACCTCTGAACTTCAAATGGTAGATTTAAATAACGCTAATATACTTCCATGATCTGAAAACTAGTGATTACACTTCATCTAAAACCCATATCCAAACATTATTATTACAGTAAGAACAAGCATAGCTGTCTGTGAATTCACTTACTTCTGGAATGTTGTCTGTAGACAGGGTTTTTTTAAGAGACAGTAACCTTGCATCCTAAAATGTAGTAAGACAAAGATATCACTAATCCCCCCCAAAAGTTCAATCTCTAAGTAAGCTTATCATGCTAAAAATGTTCAAGTTAATTATATAAATGCAATGTTAAAAAAAAAGCTGTATTCTGCAGCATTATTACATTGACTTGAAAAAGCACTTATTAAATGTATCCCTCAAACTTTCACATATGAAATGAAAACAGCTTCAACAGTGAAAAATCATGGAAAGGTTAAAAGGCTTACATATAATCACTGCATAAAGATATTTATTTTGCAAAGGAGAATATATTCACAGAGTACAGATACTCCATTTTTTAGGTTCAAAGTAATTGCTATAGAACCACAGACCTTAATTAATTCAGGAACTTGAGAGGAGTCCAGCAGTCTGCAAATGCCGCTGTAGTGGGTTGTAGGGATAACTATATTCTGTACCAAGAGGAGGGGAAAAAATTATATGAGTTTTGAAACACAACCAAACTGAAATTTGTCTAACAGAAATTATCTCAGATGTAATTCAAGTCTCCAGCTCTTGCATGTCATTGAGAAGTGGTCTGGTTGTACTTAAAAGCAGCAATTTCAAATCTAATAGATACATGTCAGGCAGGACAGGCATTATGTAGCAAAAAATGAAATGGTACCATCTTCTTCAGCTGATGGAAGTATTGTCTCAAACGCTCCTCCTTGGCCTGTACCTCTGAGTCACTCATGCTGTCAATCAAGTGATAAAGAAAATAGCCAACAGCTTCTGTGGAAAAAAACAAGAGAAAGCATTCCACTAAAATTACCGAGACTGTCATGTTATCAAGATTAATTTATAAGAAATCATTTTGGTGTGAGATGTCACCCTGATGAGAGGCTCTGAAATGGCAACAATGATCACTGAGGCATAGAGATTATGTGGTTTGGGAGCACATATCTAACTGGTGAGTGAAAGGAATATTAATTATTTTCAGACCTAGTGACAGCTTTTCAGTACAGAATCTTACTTCAATTTATTTTTTCCACTACTGTGTGACAGAAGTGGTACTGCCCAAGGCCTTCCCCCCCTTCCTTCCCGCTACCCCAAATAGTTGCCACAAATATTTTGTCATTGCTCAAAAGAAAAAACAGATTTCTAACACTTTGCATATTTATTCCGTACATTTTACCCATTATATTCCATTACCAAGTTACATTAAGTATTGTAATATTAATATAAAAATACAAAAACCATAAAAAGTATTCTAACCATTAGATCAACTAATACTGAAGAAGTTGCCTATTAGCCAATGAAAATCAAGATTAACAGATTTTAGCAAACAGACCTAAGTTTCTTATCTATGCAAGTGTAAAATATATGGGGTCCCGTAGCCGAAAACAGGAAGTGCATCAATTATTGTTTTCTCAATGGTTAGCTTTCCCCATACCCCTTGTCTCTCCAGCCCCGACAGGAGGAAAAAAACCTCTGTTTTTTAAAAACCAGATTATACAAAAAAAGTATACTTATTTCAAAGTAGAAGATTTGGTATGTTAAGTACCATTTTGCTTCACAAAATCAGAAGAGCTACTAAAGGTAAAACCAGGTTGAAAAACTGCTTTTTTTTTTTTTTGAAGTATTTAAGCACTGATACTGTGTTCATTCTAAACTTCTATTTTGGGTAATAAACTTAGAAAAATAAATCATTATCAGCAAGATTTGTTTATAATTCTAAAAAAAAAGATCTCATGGATCTCACAAAATATGCTCTGATTATTCGAATCAGGATTTTACCCAACATGTTTTCAAATTTCACTTTCAAAAAGAAGCAATCAGTGTTTACTGTTGTAATCCCTCAAACCCATCATTACACAGAAGAACGGATTTGTGGATAAGTTACAATCATAGAAATTGAAACTCTACCAGTTGGTCCTGGAGGCGTCAGGCAATAACGTTCATCTTTGTACAACAGTTCTGTTATCTGGTAAGACAGAATAATCGTACATTGCAGCCAAAAGAAGCAAGCAAGGACAAATAGTATCTGAAATTGAATTCTCAAAATAATAAAGCATTTCTCTGTTAAAGTATTATTCTTTACCACATCATAGTAATTCCCTAAGAAATACAAGGAAGTTTTTTTTGTAAATAATAGGTTTTTCTTAAAAAAAATATTGCAAACAGAAATGCTTTCTGAGGTATGGTAGTAAGACAGACACTCAAGTACTCTTTTTATATATCATTCTACAGAAAGTTAGCTATCATAACACATCGCTTAAAGCAAATCTTAACCAGTGTCGCTCCTGAGATGCTACAATTATGCTCCAATTTACTGAAAGGCTGAAATTGGCCCTTAAAGCTTTTCTTTTTTTTTTGAAAGAAGCAAATACATAAAGAAAATAGAGGAACACGATTTATCATGCTCTGCTAGATTTAAGATAACTAGTACACCTGTTGTAAATAAGTGCAATTTTGAATGACAACATATGCGTCTATAAAAATTAATTGCATTTGACTAAATTTAGCACACATTCCATCAGTCATACAAACTGAAGGAATATGTAGATTTTACTACATCAGAGGAAAAGAAGCATTTACTCAAAAGCCCCCACATCCTACCTAGAAATACTTTAACCTAAACTACATCGCTTTAAAAATCCATTTGACTGTTCTTAAGGAAATTACATCACCTTTAGCTCAAAACCAAGATTTTAAGTATTTCAAGAATTTTGCTTTATCTGCCATGATTCTAGAATGCAATCTGAAAAAAGTTAGAGGGAGGTGCATTCCCACTGTCAAAGTGCTGTGTTTTAAGTAATGACAAAAGAAAAGGAACCCTCAACTTCAATTGTTAATGAAAGTAACATTTTTTGTTTCATTTGTTTCATAAACAAAGCCAGAAAATACCAAACGTGCAACGAAATACCGTATCTATCACTTATCGTTCTGCCAACACCACGGACACTGTGCACAGTTAAACTACAGCTTTCTTCTGCCCTTTTGCCCCCGTCCTCCTATGGCAAATCAACACAGAGAAGAACCTACAACTACAATAAAATCCAAGAAAGTCATGATAACACAGTTCTCCTTCCAAACCAAATCTCAGAGAATACCAAAAAGGATGGCTTACAGAAAAAAAAAGAAATGAATGTGTGATATTATTTCTAATGCTAAGTATCTATTTATTTCCCAAGTTAGCATTTCTTATTTTAGAAGGTTAATACACGTATTTACTCATAAATTTAGCAAAGACAACAAAATATATCTTTTTTCCATTGTGGAGAACAGCAGAAGTAACTCTAGATACCACTTCACGTGCACCATTACCTCAGTCCTCTGACTGTCCTTCAAAATTAATTTCATAATGAGAGTAATGAGATCCTCTTTTTTTCTCTCCGTGCCTTCTCCTTTTATTTTTTAAATGCAAAAATGGAAGGATAGAGGCAGAGGACAAAAACATCCTCTCACCATAGTCTTCACACAACAGAAAATGGTAGTAAAATACAAAAAAACCCTGCACCTCACAAGTTGTACCTGATCATTCATTTCCAAATTACAATTTCCATTTCATTCCAAGATTTCTTCGCAAAATCTAAAATATACTGCAAGCCATGTACTAGTTTATTAGTCAGCAGTTACAGTATTGAAGAAAAAAAGACAAGAAGCACAGTGCATTCCTTCCTAAATTCTGTAACCACATCCCAGGCAGTTATCTGCCAACATCTCCTCTATTCCAGTGCTCTGCAAAATTTATTGACGAAGTTATACTGCATCGTCTTCCTAATGTAGCTCATACCAGGGAGGGCAAGATGATCAGTCATTTCCCCTAGACTTCATCCAGGTGATGACTTTTATCTGGCTTTGCCTTCAATGTTTTAAGTTATAAGACTTTAAAATTCTAATTGTGCCTTATTATTTTATTAGTACTAGTGTGGGACAGGAAGAAAGTTTAGGGAAGGCAGGAAAGGGAATTAAACAATGGCAGATTGCACAACTATGGCAGACTTTGTTCCAGAAGCTACAACTATGTACTACTTTCAGCTATAACAACATTGATCTAGAAATTAGAGTAGCATAAGCTACACTACATGGTAACATCACATTTGATTTTTCACAATTACACTTAACTGTCCAATTTGAAAACTCAATTTCATACAGTTCTACAATCTGCCACTGACAAAAGTCTTGCTCAAATTTATCAGTTCTACAATTATCGGGCTCAGAATTCAGATTTACAGTAACGCAGTGCCTAAAGAACTTGATTTTATTTACAGCATTATTATCTACGCTTACCTTGCTCCAAAGATGTACATCATTTGAGCTGAAGAGGGCAGCAAAGGATAACAAATTAAAAGCAAGAAAATGATTTTACTCTTGTATCTTTTTAAAAAAAAAAAACAACCACAGATCATTAACACTGAGGATCTTATTAAATTATTTAAATAAAACTAAAATACAGTAATTGCCACATATTGTTTAAACCAACTTTGTACAGAATAAGTATTGTACTTTTTACTATACTGCATATGGTCATAGTTTCTGCTAACTTAAAATAATGTAGCAATCCAAACAGATAACTAAGACTACAAAGAATATGTTTTAGTTTTATTTTTAGTTCAATCATTTAACATGTCCTAATTATACTTTTTTATTTTATACTTCATTCTATTTAGCATTTCAAGAAAATAAGCTTCACTCAAACAAGTCGAACTTTACATAGCAAACACTCGATATGTGGAATTTGCTAGAGCAAAAATCTAGACTCCTGTGCATTAAAATGAGATTTTTAGTATAGACAGATAACTACAGGCAGCTATAAATGCATTTATACCATGCAAAAAAGAAAGTAATCAAATCTCTTACTTAAGGTATAATGTTTATTATAGTGAGTTAAATAGATAATATTTTTAAAAACAGAAAACAAAATATAGAACTTTAATTTCTCCCCTCATAGAACAGGACAGAACTTGGAGAGCACTTCTCCAAGAACTTCCACATCATCAGGTTACAAGTAAAGAGCAAATGTTAACTAAAGCGTAAAAAACCCGACATTAAAATGTTAACCAGTTCACTGAAGTATAAAAAACCTTGCATTTTTCTATAATTTGTAGAACATCAAAATTCTCATTAGGAGCTATAACTTCTCAACAACTATAAAGCAGCATTAACCTAGACAAGGCTAAGAGAACAAAAACTTATGACCTTATTTTATCTTCCTGTAATTCTCACATGGGGTAAATAAGATGTCAGTCTGAACAGCTGCATAGAAACTTGAAAACATTCATAGAAGTTTAGTATTTTATTTAGGAGGTTCAAGCCTATGAAATATTTATTCTCTTTGTGCAACTGCCACTTGTATTGGAAAACGAGTCAAATGCAGGTCCGGGGCGGGGGGAAGCTATCTGTGAGGTTGGTTAAGCTTTCCTGGGTGAACTCGCTCCACCACTGACAGCATGACAATGAACTGCAGATAACAAATGCATCAATTTCCTAAAGTACTTGACTCTGAAATAGTAATGGTACATCAGGCAGATAGAATAGGAATACTTCGAAGCAGTTACTAGAGAAGAGCAGCTTCAACAGAAATCCATAAACTAGTCTGCCACAGACATTGTTCATGTGTCCCTGGTGTCCATACCCTGTACTTTTGTATGGCAGTCCTAAACTCCGCTCATTTGAACATTTGAGACCCACATTTAATCAAAATTTTGCTGTGGTCTTTACAAAAGCTACAAATATTCTTTTCTTCTATCATACCCTCAAGCTTCATTTTCAGGCTGTTCTAGCCATTAAGTTTAAAATAGAAAAGGAAACAAGAATTGGCATGCTTTCACAATATAAGGGTGAAATTTGGGCGTAGCCAACCTTGTACATAGCTTCTGAAGCCATGTGGCAATAAAGGCAAACAAGAGAGATTAATATTAAAGAAATAAAATAAAAAAAAAACACTTATGCCACACTTAAAAGTGGCAAGGAGAGGGGGGAAACAGTAAGCTGAATTAAAAAAAAAAAAACACAAACCAACAATCACCCAACAAAAAAAAAAAACCACCAAAAAACCCACAACCTTAATTTCCCTCAGAATTCCAAGTCTTTAGCCCAAATGTCTGATAACTACTGAAATCACAACAGTCGTTAACTGTTCCACTGCTGAGGAGAGTAACTGTTTCACTTGAGGAGAGTATGATTCTTCCGCAGCAAATTTTCACAATACAAGTTGATAATGTTTTATAGATACTTTAAATCACATTCTGAACACCTGCACAACTCTCCAGTGTGTCCTGGTTTCGGCTGGAATAGAGTTAATTTTCTTCCTAGTAGCTGGTATAGTGCTGTGTTTTGGATTTAGTATGAGAATAATGTTGATAACAAGCTAATGTTTTAGTTGCTGCTAAGTAGTGCTTACCTAGTCAAGGACTTCTCAGCTTCCCATGCTCTGCCAGGTGCACAAGAAGCTGGGAGGGAGCATAGCCAGGACAGCTGACCCAACTGGCCGATGGGGTATTCTGTACCATATGACGTCATGCTCAATATATAAACTAGGGGGAGTTGCCCAGGAAGCAGCAATCGCTGCTTGGGGACGGGCTGGGCATCGGTCAGCAGGTGGTGAGCAATCGTGCTGTGCATCACTCATTTTGTACATTCTATCATCATCATTAATATTTTTATTATTTTCCCTTCCTTTTCTGTTCTATTAAACTGTGTTTATCTCAATCCACGAATTTTACTTTTTTTTTCCAATTCTCTCCCCCATCCCACTGCGGGGGGGGGGGGGGGTGGGGGTGGGGTTGTGTGTGAGCGAGTGGCTGTGTGGTGTTTGGCTGCCTGCCGAGTTAAACCACAACACAGTGGTAGGAGTATTTCATGCTAGCATTGGTTGTGTGTGGTAAACATTGGTATGGCTTCCTTTCTAATGCAAGTCCTACTTCAACTGAATATTTATCTATACTTACAGAGACAAAATATGTTTCAAAAATCTGTTACTTTAATTAACACATCTGAAACAGATGATTCTGGGGCTGACTACTAAAATATATATACACCTAAAAGGAATTTTATACCCCTGAATGGAAAATACCCCTATTGGATCTAAAACATTATTTCACTTATCCCTTGGATGTCAAGATCAGCTGAGGCCTAGTTAACAAACCCAACTTGAACACTACTTTGCTTTTTCTCTTCCTTTTCCCATGGTAGAGCACGGTCAGGTAGAGCTAGACAGAACTTGCAATTTACTAGGAAATTATTTTGGTCATATTCACCTGGTATGTTTTACTAATATCCAACCTAAACATAGTTATATCTCACAGCCATTACAAAATTTTAGGAAATAACTTGGTCAACAAAATCAGTCTTCAGACTCTGGTCCTGAGTAATATTAAGTGACCTCTCTGGTTCCCAGGGGTGTAGGTATGCTGCAAAAAAACCTTATTCACAGTCCTAAATGTTTGACTGGGGCAAACAGTGAATGATAGAAATGCTTGTTAATTCACATATACTTGCATAAGCTTAAGACAACCCTGCAAGTTAGCAAGAAACCCTCCTTGCAAAATGGGATCACGTGGCCATGAATACAAAGTCATAGCAATGTAGCACAATACTAGGTGTTAAATGTGAGCATTCGGGAGTCGTATTAACCCCGAGGGCACAGAAAGATACCAGATGTAGTAGAATATGCCTGCCTTCTATTGGTATTTCATCTTCATTAAGCACCCATTTACTTTAATGGTTAATAATAATAATAATCTTTAGGGAAATCTTACATTAGCATAGCAGTTTATAAACAAAAAAGTGAATAAAGATAAAACCCCGAATGTTTACTACCAGTTCATATACTGTCATACCACAGAACAAACAAGAACAGTGAAGTTCTTTTTAATCTACTATATATAATACTTCAAAGATATGCTCATATATAGTAGAGGCAAGGGAACCAGGGACAGCAGAAAGGAACAAAGATATCCCTCAGATCTGCTACAGCTGGAACCCTACTCTTAAATTTTCAAACCTGGAGTGGGGGGGAAGGAGACTGCGCAGACTTGTGCTCAACAAGGCAAAAAGAGAGAGGGAACTTTGCTACAGAGTTAAAAAAGAGGTATTCGTAGAGCAACCTTACCTTTTAAAACCCAAAATAAGGCTGTTTCTAAACTGACGAATATCAATAGGAGGTGTGCTTGCTGAAGACACTGTAAATGAAAGAAATGTTTCTAAATAGTCATTTTAAAAAAATCCCTGAACTGCAACAAGTCAGTAGGTCACGTAAATAGGGTGTCATTAGAAAAACTATTCCGTTAGTTTAGTAAACGCTGACAAACTTTTGTAAATCAAAATTTAAAATACCAGGATATTTGAAACAGTCCTGGTTTTATCTGCTTTAAAGCTGCTCCATTTCAAAAGAGATCAAATATTCTAAAAGAGATTTTTCCCTCTTCATTGCCTTTAATGGCGATAGTTAATACATTAGTCTTTTATACAAATTAGTAACAGGAGTAAGCATTTTATCTGTAATAAAGTACAAGACCAAAGAAAATATTATGTTCCAAAAAGCAAAACAAAACCCAAACAATCCTAATCAAGAAAACTTGAGATATTAGCTCCGGAACAAAAAAAGATCCACCACAGGCAAATGGTTTGCTAATTGTTTCAGACTGACTACCCGCCTTAAAATAGGCTTTACAATTTTGCCTTCTATTTTTTTTATTTAAAAAAAAAACAAACCAAACCAAACAAAAAAAAACCCCAACAACAACAATGACACTTTCTTAGGTGTTTGCTTCTACCAGTGTAAATTGCCTGACAAGAAAGAAAAAGTAGTTCCATCTAAAGTGCTATCCACTGAATTAAGTTAAACATAAGGGGAAAAAAGAGAAAGATACAAAGTTCTAAATGTTGATATTTACGATATTGGTTGAACACAAAGGAAACTGTAAAATTACTTAAAATTAGATGTCCCTGAGAGGTCATTTACAGTTATGCCCTATGTCCTCATCTTTACATAATTTCCTGGCTAAATATTCCAAATCATTCTACCTTCTTCCTCTAGAATTGCTGTCTCTCATTCCAGCACCATAGTCCAGCAAAGAAAAAAAATACAGTAGTAGATGCATTTAAGTCCTGTATGGGCCCTTTCAGCAAGGGCTGCAATATGGTGTATGGTAGAAGAGAACTGAAAAAAAAACACCAGCTCTACAAGAACCTGGAAAATAAAAGGCAGGAACAACATGCTAAAACCATTCCTTAGTCTAACTCCAGGTGTTTAGAAAATTAAGTTTAAATGCTGGAACGTTTATTTTAGTTTGAAAATCTCAGGTAAAGTTGGTTTCAAGAAACCCTCAATACAAATCCTCCTCCAGTGGTATAATAAACTTTTTGCTCATAAAAAGACGAGCAGAAAAGCATCTCAGTATGCTCAGCTGCTGCTGACAATCGGCAACCTGGTTTCCTTAGCAACAAACAAGTCTGGGAAAATCAAGAGGCTGACAATGAAGTGGAATGGAACGGCATGATAAAGGGAAAAAGCGGCTCTCATGTACACCGCCTTATGCGCCCAGATTCCTCAGCTGATGCTTCATAGTTTTCATCTTGTCAGTAGCAGAAATCTATATATTAGAAGGTATGAGAAGCTGAATCAATACACCTAGATAGCAACCAGCATTAATAACCAACCTTTGCCTTCCCTGACTACACTGATGAGACAATCTTGAACTATTTTCCATACTGCATCTGTTTTCCCCTCTTTGTAATACTGCAAAAGGAGCCAAGTCAAAAAAAAACCAACCAAGCAAAAAAAAAATCAGCTGTTTAATATCTGTGCCTTATCATTACATAGGTGCTAATTAGATTTACTAGCATTCATTTCAGCTTGGTAAACTATTTATGGAAGTACCTTCCTTTAAAGCTCAAGTTCAAAAGAAATTTTGTATGTCTCCACGAATTATTAACCCCGGTCTTTGCACACAGAAATACCACTACAATACCACTACAGACAACAGCTAAATAATACACTATGTGAGACTAATTTCATGACAATAAGACAGAATGCAGCCTACTATATGAGCCTGTATCATACTTTTGGTATTATATACATTTACCATATACCAGGCACACACGTATTTGTGCCTTATACCACATTAAAACCTGAGTATTTCAGTTAACCAAAATGAGTGTGCAGGGGTGGGTCTACTTTTTCATGTAGGCAAAAAAATAAAACCCCTATTTCACTTTCCAGAAGAGATTTCATTGCTCCTAATAAATAGTTATCCTTTCAAAAAAAATTTCAAAGTTATTTTAGGTACTTCATTTTTCATGGTTAATGGTTTTTTTTTTTATAAAAAGAACAAACAAAATAATGGCAGAATGTAAGGTGAATCTTAAAGATTCACTAATTGATAAATCTCCAATACAAAAACTAAATCACTGATGAGTAACTACTCATTTTCAACACAACAGCTTCCGAGGGTCATGGTGTATAGACTACATATTTCTATTTGTTAAATAAAACTGTTAATAACAATTGCAGCACAAGACTGCTTAAGATTTTCCCTGAACCTTGGACACATAAAACTGCTGTTTAAAAGAGTTCTGTGGCAGATTTAGTCCAAATTTAGGTGTTTTATTATTGTCTCAGTATACTAGGCAAAGGAAAACTGTATTTGCTTTGAATTTTGAAGAGAAACATATATTCCTACTTAATCAAGCAAATCATCCCATAGATTCAGTCAATGATATATATTAACTTTTCATGCTGGTTTTGGCTGGGATAGAGTTAATTTTCTTCACAGTAGCTAGTATGGGACTGTGTTTGGATTTGTGCTGAAAACAGTGTTGGTAACACAAGGATGTTTTCATTACTGCTGAGCAGTGCTTATACAGAGTCAAGGCCTTTGCTGCTCCTCACCCCACCCCACCAGCGAGTGGGCTGGGGGTGCACAAGAAGTTGGGAGGGGACACAGCTGGGACAACTGACCCCAACTGATCAAAGCGATATTCCATACCGTATGACATCATGCTCAGCATATAAGGCTGGGGGAAGAAGAAGGAAGGGGAGGACGTTCGGAGTGATGGCATTTGTCTTCCCAAGTAACCATTACACATGATGGAGCCCTGCTTTCCTGGAGATGGCTGAACACTTGCCAGCCGATGGGAAGTGGTGAATGAATTCCTTGGTTTGGTTTGGTTGCGTGCGCAGCTTTTGCTTTGCCTATTAAACTGTCTTTATCTCAACCCACCAGTTTTCTCACTTTTACTCTTCTGATTCTCTCCCCCATCCCACCAGGGGGGAGTGAGCTAGCAGCTGTGTGGGGCTTAGTTGCCAGCTGGGGATTAACCACAGCACTTCTGCAAGCACTGAGCATCAGAACAGTCTTTGGAGAAAACTCTTAAAAAGTGATTAACTCATGCTGTTACAACTTCATCACCTAATTAACCCATCAAATTTATACACATAACTTCCATGACCAACAGATCAGCAGAGCACCCTCAGGTTAACGTCAGTGCCAATCAGTTCTTTAAAGTTGGTTCTTTCATTAATAATCCAGTAGTACTTCAGAGCCATATTGTTAGACTAGCACCCTGTTGTAAGATGCTGCAAACAAAAACAATCCCCGCACCAACAACTTAACAGTCATTGTGCAAGGCAAATTGTTTCCTTAAGCCCTCTAAGTAAAAGAGGATCATAATCATATCACAATCTGTGATTTGTAAATATCTTATATGTAAATCTTATGGCCAGGTTCAATACTAAAGAAGAATTTAACCATGATATGTTGTCCCAAATTGGTAGTTTCAAGCAGTCTGACATCTCATCATAGAGGACCTCACATAATAAAAGCTTTGCTCAAGTTTCCCACATATCTTTAAACCTCTTGTATTAATACATGTAAATCTCTTAGCCTACAACCAATCAACACTACAGCCAAGTATGTAGTAACACACAATATGAAAAATACTTACATAGAGAAAGAACATTGTTCAGTCTCCCATGTGCTGCTTCATGTCTTATTTCTGCTACATAGAGTCCAACAGTTTCAAACAGGCAGTCATTTTTCTAGAGATAAAGCAATCAATCATTGGAAGTACACACAGAGAAAACCTTCTGATTCTTTGTATTTTTAACTGCTTCCTTCCCAAAGGACATTGGCATTCCATGTTGAGAACATAGAAGGTGCTCTACAGAAGTCTACATGGCTAGCCAGATAAGTTGGACTGATCAAAAACTATCCAGCTTTTGTATTGAAATCAACTGCAAGAGACAACGTTACCAAAAGCAGAAAGAGTGGGACAGTTAGTCTGCAATTCTGAATTCTTTAGCAAGTTTAAAAAAAAAAAAAAATTCACCAGAAACAACTGTAATACTTCTAATCCTCAGTAAAAAAAGGACACAATTCATTTATTTAGTTTTCCACTTCAGGAAACAGAAAGACAGTAAGTCTTGTGCAAAATATTTTGGTTAGCTCTGAAAAGGAGAAAGAAAAGCAGCAGGAGAAAGAAAAGCAGCAGGAGAAAGACACGGTAAACAAACCATCAGTGCAACAACTGTTTCAAAAGTAGTCTAAATATTCTGAACAGGCTTCATCATACCAAGTTGATAATTAGAGCACTACTGGGATCTAAAGGCTTCACAGGACATAGGAAAACAAGCCACACAATAGTCATTTTTATGAATTCTAAATGTAAACTCACCTTCAGCTGGGCACGGGCAGTTTCACTATCAGCAAAATTTTTAAAAACATAGTCTGTGTATGTTTCTGTATCAAGTTCCACCCCCAACTCGTGCATCACTTTGAGGACCTCAAAAATACCTATAAAGGCAAAATTGGTAAGGCTAAGCATTTCAGAAAAATGAAAACTTGAGACTCAACATTTAAAGATAAATGTTGCTTTTCAAAAAAAGGACTTGTCTCCTCAATTTCGCTCCTTGAAATTGCCATGCAAAATTCTGCATTTTTATTTTAGGTGTTAATAAAGTTCTTAATTGTGAAACTTAAAATAGATTTACTGAACTTCCTGTTCTGTACTATCAAAAACATGAAACTCTCAGCTAGTTTGGAAATTCCTAGTATACAAAGTTATTTTCTAACACAGTGAATATATGACAGTTAGTCATGTTTGCAAAACATCTTTTAGAGCTATGTATCACAATGTCCATATTACTATGCATAAAAAACAAATCTGAAATTTGGTGTAAAGTATATAATCAAATTCAAGACACAAATGCATTCTTTAATACATAATACATTCTTAGCTTTGTTCCCAGAATCCAATCCTGATTAGCAAGGCAAACTTTCAAGATTTGTCTCTAAATTTGTTTAAAACAATAACATCTTTGTAAGCAAACAGGTTGATTACTCTATCAACGCATCAGCTTCAAACTGGAAATTCAGAGAAAGGCTGGAGTCTCCCAAGCCCCAGTGAAACTACATTATAACTTCTACAGGGTTCAGATCAATTCACACAACTAGACTGTATATTACTACTGTAGATATGCATTTGAAGACAACAGATACCAAACTAATAGTTCAGCAATTAGTGTAGAGTTTTGGAGTACATGTCACGCTTTATAATTGCTCACACTCTTCTGATTTGCAGAAACTTCTTACAGTAACCCTAGCTAGCAAACTCTGAACCCCTGTCAAAACCAATACAGGTATTATAATTTTTTGCTGGTCTAAAAATGATTTGTCAGTTGCTGCAGGACACCAGTACCAAACAGCATATGTTTTTTTCAACTTGCATTTCATACTTATTACTTTAAAAATGTAAAGTTTCCCAAAGTCCCTGTCTTTGCCCCGGAGTGCCACCTATGGAAAAGTGACACTTCCATGAATATTTTATGCAGTGCACTATGGTGCAAATAATCAAATGTGAATTCCCTTTGAGCACTTGAAAATACATGCAGGCAAGTCACACTAGATTAAAGTCGCATCATCTGTTCAAGTTTGCCTTAAACAAAACTCTTGATTTTGGCCCAGAATCTGAAAAAATATGAATAAAGAATTAATTACAGTAAGTCCTTCTTGATACCTTTCAAATTTTGACAGCTACTTTCTTTTTCATGTTTTCAACTTCCCAAAAAAATACATTAAGTCCTCTTACGCTGAAACCTTTTCAAAAATAACTGTATCTGTATCGCTAGAAATTATTTTGAAAACCGAGAACTAGATACCATAGTGAATAAAGTGTGGTAAACTCAGGAGATTTGAGTTCAGATTTGTATCTAGAACAGAGCAGAAAACGGGCTTGTCACAAATGTCTACTAGGGCACAGTTCCTGAGTAGGAAAGGGTACATATGAAGATTAGAACACCAGCACAACAGTGAGATGCAGATTAAGGAGGAATTCCAGTAACAATAGCACATAGCCAAATTAATCACAAACTTAAAAAAAATACTGCTACACATTTCTTCATTTCTAAGATGGCTGATGTACAATTTTCTGGGGGAATAGCAGATTAATAAAAACCAACACAGAATCCTACAATTTTGCACACATTTCCTACCTCATTGAGAGCAGAATTACTTTATTATCGCAGAAATATCTTCCACAATACAAAGCAATGGAACGTTCCCACTTCAATCAAAATACTATGAAATTGTCAAATACATGCATGAAATAGGATTTGAGCATTATGTGTGTGGACTTTTAGAAATTCTTTGCTCCTCATATTGGAAAATACACTAACCTCTTCTCTCCCCCCAAACCAAAGAACAGACTGAAAAAGCGAGAGACAGAAGTGCAGTCACATTTATCTAGAACACTGGTTTCCCAAACTTTGAGAACACACCCCCAATACATGTATACTTATTTAGGCATTATATACACGTACTACTGCACTGATATATTATGCACATTATAAAACATACACAAAACCAGAAAGTAAAAAAAGATGAAATATTTTTTTTTTTTTTTTAATTTATTAACAGCCTGCTTACACCCCAGAGTATTGCCTTGCACACCCCACTTTGGAGACCACTGATCCAGAAGACTGGGTATGACTAAAACCCACAGTAAAGTCTTCCAGCCATCTCCCTGCTCGATCAAGAACAGGTTTTTGAGATCTTGGGCTGAGATATGCAAGGACGGCAAGAGGTGAGTATCTAAAATCAAATAATTGAGTGAGTGGAAAGAGGACAGAAATAGGGAACAAAACACAGCCAAACTTCTGTTCTCCTTTTTGTCAATACTGGAAATGGCACTTGAACACCCCAACAGAACAGATTCCAGCCTCGAATCAGTATATCCGAGAACAAATACATGATGTATTATGAATTACAAGATGATTATAATATTTCTGTGGTAGAGCAGAGCAACTTGCTGCTTTTCAAGAAGTGAAAAGTGAGACTTGCGTTTTAGTCCACCTTTCATTTCCAAAGTTTCTCACAGTAAGTCGTGCCTTCTTCCTAAAGAGTCCCATCAGAACAGGGGGGATTTCTAAGGCAGTTCTACACGTGCAACAGCAGTAAAATTGGGCTTTAAGCAGTTTTCTAAGGAAACAAAAAAAATACCCCTCCAGTTCGAAAAGTGAGGTTGCGTTCAGGAAAACAACATAATATTTAACATATTTTTGCTGTGCTGTTAATTTCAGATGCACTCAGAAAGTTCTTTGCCAGAACCACAAAACAGTATTTCAAGCAGTTACTTTGTGAAATCACCATCCTTATTCCTCTCTAGACTCAGACTCTTATTTCCCTTATTTCCCAAAGTAAAAACTGAATTACCATTCACTAACCATGCTTTGTGTATATAACCGTTCAGTAGAAAACAAAAGTGAAATACACAACTGACTTTTAAAAACTGTATTTAAAAATAACATGATTATACAAAGATGAAGGGGAGCTATAAAATATTCAGTAACACGTGTAAGTCAAACATTTCTGCTTATTTATACCACGCCCTCCTGTTGTTAGTGTATAATCTGATACAAGATGAATCTCCGTGCCAGTAACAGTTTCCGATCCACCGCATATTGATCTTTTAAACCCTGCAAGCACTTTCCATTCCTAAAAGCCTAACAGCATTTACTTAGGTAAATACTATGGAAATAAGTAATTATGAACTTATATAACAGATGCGCATAAAAGCAAGAATGCCCCATCTGAAATTATTTGCCTGTGTAAAACGACTGAAAAAAGCTGTTTGTTATTTCAGAGTGTTTAAGTTCTCTACAATATATTTAAAAATGGCCTTGCTTAGTTTCATTCCCCTTAGCCCCACTTCACTGCTACTTTTCCTTCAAACTCAATTCCATAATACAGAAGTTAGGGAATTTCCTTTGATATCCAGTGTCAGCTTTTGTTGTAATAAACATTAGATAAACGTATAATTAAACATTGCTACTGTTCATGTAATTGTTTGGGTCACATTATACATACTGATTCAGACATTTGTACCCTGCAGTTCTAGATAGGTTGTTGCTTATATTCTATGTTCTTTAATGATTACTTAGTCCACTGTCTACATCCTATCAGTTTTTAGTAGTTTTTCCTCAAAGTTCTTGTCCGTTTTCAGCCTTACCTATACCGACATGCAAAATTACACACACTAGGCCGGGCATTACTACTTTGTAGAGAAAGGAATTATTACCTCATTTTTGGTCTGAGATGTGATACAGTGTCTATCTATACTTTTGTTCACACAGCTCTATTATTTTTTGCTGCTGGAAAGCACCATTCTGTTCATTTACTATCTGCTGTCATCTTTAGGTTCTCACTGCAGCAGCATTATTTTTTGTTCTATTATTTCTATGAAACAATTTCAGGGTGGGTGGGTTTTTCCCCCTATTTACTTTCTTCAAGCATATTGGTTGTATTTTTAGATAGTGGATGTTATTTACTCATTTTTTTATTATTAAATTTCAAAAAAATGAATGTGAGCTAACACATGGGAAAGAACAAGACAACTTCTTTCACTGCAGCAAGAATAATTCCACTAATTCTTCACTGCAGAAGAAACTGCTCAGGTATCTTATGATATCTTATGCATTTTAAGAATTGCAAAATCACTGACTTTTGTAGATATGCACACAGTAGTAACGTTCCCACTGGACAATTCAAACTCAGAGACTAAGCACCAGGTTACAAAAACATGTTTGCAAATCCACAGTATTATCATGCAGCCATACGGAAGCTTATGTATCCAATGCCTTTGCAGCTAGAAAAAGAAAGGCTCTCTAGAAAATGGCAAAGCAAGCCAGGGTTCCTTCATCAGTTTTCTTCTCAATTTGCTTACATGACTATTAGCCAAAGGAGGAACTATTAGCCAAAGTATAGTCGATTTCTACAGTAGGAGTCCAAATTAAGACAACTTCTGATCTTGCCAAAGACCAAAAGAGATACGAAGACTTAAGTTTCCCTCGACGGTCAGATATTGCTTCAGTTTTGGGAGCTAACTCTACATCTAAAAATACTTCAGACGTCTCTTATAATTGTGTTAGTGAGGTGAAATTTTCCATGGAATAACAGAAAGCATGTTTTTGCAGTAGACAGCATCCACATAGAGAAGTATGACACGGATTTCAATTTACTTATTTTTGGCAATATTGTACTTCAAGTCACAAAGGACCCAACTAAAACAACGTCGCCAGACTTTAAAAATATCATAGAACTTTCAAGCATTTGAAAACCTGGGAGAAGATAAACTCGGGAAGTAGTCTAGCAGGAACAGAGCCTAAGGAGTTAATAAAAACTGAATATTGTTTTCACAAAGGCTTTTTGAAAAAGACTTGAGACATTTTTATAGCCAGAAACAATTAGGGAATACTTGTTTCAGCATTTCTTCCAAACTGGAATGTGACTGTATATTTAAGATAAAATTGCAATATGAAGAGTCTGCTAAAAGCACTTTTTTTTTGTTTGTGCATTTTGTTTGTCACCCAGTGTCATACTAACAACTCTGCATCTCATTCTAAAGCACATTATACTGTGAGATAAGATGAAAAAGACAGTTTTTTGTTTCCCCAAGGGGGAAGTACTTCTGTTAAAAGCATCTTTTTACAATACCATTCTTTCTGAATTACCAATAACGCAAACCAAAGAATTAGATACTGTACTCTAAAATTTAATATTTGTTCCATTCTTATTCATATCCTGTAGACATCCCCATGTGTAACAGGGGAAAGTATGCTAAATGCTTAAACCTACTTAAGAATCCCAAAGATTGAGCATTTCTGTCCTTCAATCAGTATGCTGTCAGGTCAGGCTCACACATTCAGCAATGGAAGTTCTCCTGTAGTTTTTATTATTGTAACAAAACTCATGTTTGGCTTATCATGCAGATAATAAGAAGTTGGCTTGAAAAAAAGGATTCGGTTTGCAGTCCAAAAGGACTATTATAACATAACCTTACTTTTAAATTCTTCTCTCAGATTTCAGTTTCTTCAAGAGTAAACTCTGTAAAAGGTCATGAGCAGCAAAAAGAACCAGTGGAAGGCAGAAAGAATGCGAAGAGTTGGAAAGATAATTAAACACTCTCTCACATCTTTCTAAGCAAAGGTAGACTTTAAATTTGTACAACTGTACCATGATTAAGTAAGAAAGGAGGTTTTAAAAAAAGTCTTTCTGAAGGAAAAATTGTTTGCAACAAAGACAGACATGCAGCAAGGTCTTCGTTTACTTTCAAGAGCCTGCTGAATCTCATAGCAATGTTTTAACAAAGATTTGTGCACTAGGTATGCAATAAAGCTAGAGGAGCATTTATCAGATAACTAACCTTTAAGATTCTTCTCTTTCTGGAACCCAACTAGCAGCGGCCAGGAATAGTGAGGTCTGAGTGGCAAGCCTTCCTCTTTCATCATCTTCATCACATCAATGGCCAAGGCTGAAAACATTCATAAGTCAATTAAACAATGACCAAGTACTTTAAATAAACATATGTAAAATAACTAAATATGGAGAATACCTGATTTGTTGGCCTCCAAAGCGCAACGCAAAATAAATGGTAACGGTGCCGAGTGCATTTTTGCTTCTTTTAACTCACTACAAAATTGCTTCAGCTTGTTCACAGGCTACAAAGAATTTCAAAAATTAATTTAATATATTTTTCAATTTCTCAACTTGTTAAGAATGTCAGATTCTTCTAATGTTTAGGAGATGTATATTACACATGCCAAACATGATTCCTTTGTAAATTTCAATTTACTATGCAAATTGATATGAAATATTAAAATCCTTCTTTTATTCTTTAAGAACCGTGCAAAACAAATTTACCATTTTCCATCTTCACAGTTGCATTAAACTAAATAAATATACTGTTATTAGTATATTAAGAAAAAAGTATTACTATTCTGCATACCATATCTCTATTTACACAGTGTTGCAAGAAGAAGTTACCCTGGTCCATATTATCACGTGATAAATGATTAAGAGACTTCAAAATATGGAAACCTATATCTTCAAAGCCATGAGTTATCAGGGTCAAACACAGGTTCATTGCATCTAGCAATTGAAAAACAGAGAAAAACAAAATTAAATAAGTGCATATAACTATTTCGCATTAAAATAAATGCGAAAAATTAGTGAAAGCTAGGAAAGTAAATGTTTTACAAGTATCATTAGCATACTTTTAAACATGATTAACCAACAAAACTTGAGACTACCTTTTTCAGAATTATTTATATTTATCAATGAAATTCACTTTTCCCATTAGAAGATCATGTCAAAAATTACAGAAGCATCACCACTGCAGCATGACAGAAGGATACTAAATAAGAGAAACACATTTCTAGACACGTCAAAAAAAGAAAAAATGGATGAAGTATAATTAACAGTTATCAATCAGATTATGCATACTGGGATCCAAAAGTGACTTTAACTGTAGATAAAGAAAACTATATTCAGTGTTTAGTCTCCCTTTTTATGATATTCACAAAGAGCTGTCACAACAGGAATTACAACAGTGTTTGAAGAAAGGACTCCACACTTACTGCTTTCCTATAAAATCTTAATGAATTTTAGAAGTTAAAAAAATTGGTAGATTAATTTTCCTACGTAAATTATTAAAATTGGTTTATATTTAAATTTTATAAAATGTGATCTAAAGCAGCACAAATGAATCCACAAACTAATGGCAAAAATATTATTTTCCCTAAGTATTCAAGAGAAAAGTACAAAATTACCTATTTTTGGTAACATCAGTTATTGTTGGGGGGAAAAAAAAAAAAAAGAAAAAAGAAAATGCTTTCCCTCTCCACCCTGAGTAGCAAAACACTGCTGTGGTAACCAAGGACATACCTGGAATTAATTCCCTTTCAAATCTTATGCGTTCTTTAATATCTTCGATGTACTGAGGATATCCAGCCTTGGCAAGGCTAAAAATCACCTGCATCAAAATCCTATCCATAAGGTACCCTTCAGTCTTCTCAACCTCTTCTAGAGTCTGTAAACCAGAATAAATTTAACTTTAATAAACTCTAAAGTGACTCAAAACAGGATACATTAAAAAAAAAATCATCACAAAAAGCTGTTTTTTTTCCTTTTTTAAAACCACGGGTTTAGATACGTGGAATATGGCATAAAGAATACCCAGGATTTATAGAGAGGGCCTCAAACACCTTTAGACTGTAAAAAAATAAAAGGGATATAATAGATAGTTTCCCTCTAGTATCTAATAATATACGAAAACACCAGAGGTATTCCCATTGTGAGATGACTTTCAAATGAAATTACTTTGAAAAGGAGAGAATGATTATTCAAAGTTTTTTATAGTATTTGGAAGAAGGTTGGTTGATGAAGATTTGTTTAATTTCTAAATCACAGAACAGTATTATGTTTCCCACACCCTCTTCCTTGATTTGCTCCTCTCCATCTGATACTACTTATTAAACTAAAAACAATTTTCTTTTCTCATTCCTTTCCAAATACTTCTTTGATTTAAAAAAAAGTAAGAGAGAATACTTGAAAAAAAATCAGCTACACAAAGGGCTGTAAGGCAGCATTATCTTATCCACATTTCATCAATACCTAAGTTGTTGGCATGAACTCTCAAAAAAAATTCAGTTTTACTAGAAAGACTCTGTGGCTTCAGTGGGAGCCAAAGAATGGCTCAATGGGAGCAGGATAATCAAGGTTTACTTTTTATTTATTTTTATAAATAAATACATAAGTATCTCACATGCACTATTTGTCTTTAAAAAAAACTGAATTATTAAATCACTCACTGGCAAACATATCTTCTCAGAGTGAAAGGCAACTATCAAAAGACAAGTATTTTTCATAAAGTATGAGACTGCTTTCAGTTAACCAGCTATTCAGATGCAAAAAAAAAAAAAAAATTTGCTTAATTGCTGCAGACTAGGAGGAAACAAGTTATAAAATTCAGTATAAAATTCAGTATTATTCCTCCTGCACGGATAGAAAGCATTCCAAAGTTAAATTGAACAAAAGATCAAACAAGTTGTATTTAAACTCAAACTTGCAATACCTTTTTAATGCTACCAGCATCACCCTTTTCAGCATACATATTCAGCAGTGATAAATAGGTGTCTGGACCTGGTTCAACACCGGCCATCCTCATCACTGAAAGGATATTTTCTGCACTCTTCATATCTCTAAAAGAATTTAAAAGACCTTCAGTAGATTTAATCATAATAATGTTTATTGTGCCTTCCACATTTCCACATTAAATTAATTAGAATTGGAAACAAAGACTGCAACAAGCATAGAGAAACTTACTTGAACTAAGCAAATCCTGAAAGGTGGAAGTGCAAATCTTTTAATTATTGTATCACTTAAAATATTCTTTGAACTTTAACAGTTGAAAAAGTTCAAAACTAAGTACAGCAAATTTCTTTTTCAAACAGTGCAAAAGTACAGTAATTTATCTTGAAATTCAAGATTTTCAGACACAAGAAAAATCTACTTCCTTTGTTAAATAGCCCTGGTTTGCTTCAAAAAATGTATAAAAAGACAGTCTTCTATACATTATTACTCAAAACCATCACACTATTCTGCAGCATGTAATTTTTCTGTACAGTATCACTTCATATTGTACTACAACTAAAAGAAAACAAAAGAAAAAAGGTATTAAACATTACCCTGATCTTGCATGACCTTTCACAAGGCTACTGAATACTGCCTCAGTGATTGGAAGATCTTTGTTCTTCATAAATCCAAGAATCTTACTGCAAAATACAAGACAATGAATGATTAGATATTTTTTCCTTCAAAAAGATAAACTACTGAGCTATTGCTGCTCTGCTAGACAAGTACTGTATCATCAAACAAAACCAAATCCCGATCTCACTGAGCAATTACATTTGGGGATGCTGCATAATATGCTCATAATTTGGTCATTTTCATTTTTTCAGATGAATTGTATTTGTCACTTTGAAATATGCAGACACAAGGGTGGGGCTGGGTTTTTTTTTATTTTTATCTTCCTTTTACTTGTTTCTCATGTCCAGTAATCACATTGTTGCAACTTAACCTTGCTAAAATTAAAATGTTAGATATGAGCAAGCCCTGCGTAACAAAAACAACAACAAACAGAATTACTAGTATTCGCTCCTTAGCCCACTTTATTCTCAGTAGCCATTTTCTTACATAGGCAGTAAGCCTTCATAACCTCACACTTTTTCACGCTGGCTCTAGAAATGACAAAACAAGTTATTTTCTGAGCAACTGGAATATAATTTGATTTGAACACACTGGTCTATCACTTATTTTTATTTTGCTTGTGTAGGTTCCAGCTGTCTCTAAGAAACTGCTCTTCAGTGCTTGGTTAAAATATACTTAAACGCCCTCTTCGCTTTGCTCAACTTATAAGAATTACACTGAAATGAGTTTTAACATTAATGGTAGGGAATATGAGAAACAGATCTTGAGGAAATCCCTTTAAACATAAATGCAAAAGAATACCTCGCTCCTTCAATGTCACCCTCATTGCAATAAGCAGCAATCAGCCTTTGGTATGTAACCTACAGAAAACAAAACGGGGAAGTTAATGATTTCCATCCAATAAATGGATACTACTATTAAGAATGAAGATATCGTAAAAGGGTACCTACTCGATTGGGCTGCACATTAGCTTCCTCCATTCTGGCCAAGAATTCCGTCGGAGAAAATTTGTGCTCATTCTGAAGGTAGACTTTAAGTAAAGCATTATAATGGCTTGTATCATACACAGCACCTAAGGAAATATTTCAACCACAGTCAGTGAATGTAGATTCTCTAAATTCAACATGATTTTATAGCTTTCTCAGGTAATTAATTTCATATCAATTTTATTCTGTATGAACTTCATGTATAATCAGACTGCTTCCTTTTACCCACCTTTGAAATATCACATATCTATTTAACAGCACACATGTTTATAAAAGGCTAAAACATAACAAGAGCACAGTAATATCAATGCTCGTGTGCATGCCATTCCACAGTCTCTACAGCTGTATTTATGTTACAGATTCAGCAATATTACTATCAAGAAGCAGTTCACCTATGCAACATCTATAGATAAATGACTAACTTAAAATAAAAAAAAAAATCATCTGATAAAATAGCTACTAGGAATACTCAGCCCACCAGATATCATGGTAACATCCAACAGAAAAGTAAAATACATTCTTACAATAACCAAAATCAAGCAAAAGTCCAATTTAAGCATCTTACAAAAAAAAAAATCTTTAGATTTATTATTAACACCCCTAGATGTCAGTATAACTCCCAGAATAGGAAACAGGTCTCTCACCTGAATAATAAAACCTAGCGTTTATTCAGTAATGAGTATTTGCTGTTATAACCTAACATTTAAATACTATTAAAATACATTCAGTCTTCTATTACAAAGAAAGTAACTAAAACACATAGCTGTTCTTGCAAGAGGGACTAAAAAAACCAGCCTACCCAGTTCTTTCATCTTCTCCCATATCATATGGGCTAGTTCCGTTCTTTCAGGTGACAATACCTCTGGTAAAAGAGCACCACAACTTCGCAACAAAAGCAAGGTCTGATTACTCCCTGGACACCCTGCAAGTGGAACACAACCAAAAATTTCTTTATAAATAATTATGCATTTAATATTAGAAAACAGATTCAAGACTGACCCACTGAAATATTTAAGCATTTTGTATAGAACAGAATCTTCTCCAAGACTGAAGGTTTTTACTGAACAGGATACCCAAATGATTAAACAATGACACTATGATTAAACAATGACACTATTATGCGCCATCATGAAAAAGTTTCACGATAAAACATACCACTTAGTACAATTATGAGCTCAGCTGAGCAGAAATTTTAAAAAGTACAAAATAAAATACTAAACTCGGATGATCCAGCAGTTTAAACTTCCCAATCCAAGATCCATAGATCACTTCATCCTAACAGGGACGTAACTTTCTGGTAAATTTCTAAAATGTCAAAATCCTTCATACCAATTCCATACTATTCCAAAACTGGTGTTCAGAGATATTCCACATTTAAGTTTCCATTTCCATTTCTGCCCATGCTCAATATAAAATAAATGAGATAATTTACATCCAGAAAATAGTGAAGGAAACCTTAACAATATCTACCTTCTCTGACTTCTGCACTAGCCCCAGAATGTCGAAAAAATAACTATAAACTCATCTGTCTTTCTTGGACTTCACTACTATCCTTATGCTTGAGGCAAAGTAAGGCAGAGCTACAGAATCTATCACAGATTACCCAATAAGCTGGAGACATACAATTTTTTTCAATCACATCTTTATACGCAAACCCAGCAATTTCTAATAAAAAGGAGTTTATTTAGAAAGCAGCATACTGTAAAGGAAAAAAAGAAAAAAGGCAAAAAAATGTTGTCTATTCCTTTCCTATCAGAGAAAGGTATACTCAGAAGTAATTTCATCTAAGAAGCAGCAAGATAAATGTTCACATACAACATAAATGATGAAAAAAATCTGTAAGGTTTTCTCTCTCAGAGATATACATGCAGACTTGAAAGATTCAGACTTCCAAAATTACTTGAAGGCTAAAGCATCATTAATGCTTTTTAAGTTACTTCCAAATCATCATGCCAACACTCCAAAGTTGTGTACAGCCCAGCATAGAGGCAGAAGAGGCATAGAAGCCCAGCATACAGCCCAGCATAAAGGTACCTCCAGCTGCTGCTGATCACTTTAAGTGTAATTTTTAATTATACAGAGCCATAGAAACAGCTATAAAATAATGGCAAAATAAAGTAAAAAAACATCAACAGCAGAAAGCTATATACGGTCTAGAATTAGACTTTCAGGTACCAAAAAGGACCAGCAAATCTAGGATACCACATAACTACTGTAAACTATGTTTCAAGAGTGCAATCTACAGCAGAAAAGTTATTTATACAAAGTAAACTCACCTGGGAAGAAAAACAGGCAGTAGTGGGGAAAAAATAAGCAATAATGAGAGAAGAAGAGAAATAAGTTAAAACATTGAGAGGGGGCAGGTACAAATTGCAAACGGGGATTTGAACTTCTGCAGACATAATGGAGTGGTGAGGTAAATCATACTTGACTAACTCTTAAATCCCTGCATACAATTAGTTCATGCAATAAAAATGCCAACACATCTCCAGTTTCACAATGCCAGTAGTATACTAGTGACTGAGTACCTTGAAAGGCAAAAGAAACAGGAAAAGGTTTGGCATGAGTATGGAAAGATGCAGGACAAGAGATCTACAGCAAGCACCTTCTTGGGGCACTTTTCATGTTGTAATTAGAAATGGAAGAACAATACAAACACAGGCAAATCTTTTTAAGAAATCAATAGAACTAACCTCCCACACTTTTGCTAAATTAGTTTTCAATATTATTAATGAAAAAAGGACTGAATTTTTCATATGGAAATATTTGTCACTTATTTTAATCGCATCCTATTTAAATCTCTTGTGAAGTTCTACTTTTTTTTTTTTTTTTTAATATACTTACACAGCCAAAGGAAACCACTATAAGCAATTAATCTTTTTGTTAATATGACTTCCTAAAGACTGTGTAACTAATCAAAGATCATGAAGAACTGCGATTTGCAGGTAAGTTTAGAACCTAAACTCTTGCCAACCTAAACTCGCAAATTATAAGTTTATACCTAAAGACGACAAAGCAGTGAGAATCAGAAAGGATATCACAAGCAAAAAGAAAAAACTAAGAAGTTCAACAGAAAGAGAGCATGAATTGAAAACTCAGCTTTTAAACAGTGAACTGCAAAACTTTTAAAACCACCATCCCAGGTATTCAAGCCATTAAGAGTCCAGAGCAATACGTAGCAAAGTTTAAAAGAAAACAATACATGCTGTCATTAATAAATATTGGCAGCAGTACTTAGTGCGTATATTCAGAAAATATCTCCACTGACTCATCTTAACTGGTACCAAACCTTATCAATTGTGGTACCTGGTTTGCAAAATATTCATGTAGTCTGGCTATTTTTAGCCAAAGGGGTATTGAATCTGTCAGAATGAATAATGCCTCAGCTGTTTATTTTTGTTTTATTCAAAAAAATAAAGCTTTCTTGTCCTGAATAACCACAGCTACCTGGGAATATGGAAACTTGGGAATCACCTCCACATTTCCCTGTATAGTTCCATTTTAAAGCCACCTCTTAAGGACAGTATGGTTTATTACAGACATTTTAAAAATATACTGTGTAAAACAGATATGATCCCTGTTCAGAGTGCAAAATACAGTTATATGAGGAAGGTGTAACATTACCAGATTAATAATCCACAATAAACGATATTATAAGATTTCTTAAACATACACTGAATTTTTACAAGACTTATAAATTCCCAAAGACAAAAAACTTGGAAAAGCAAACATGCATTCAAAACAAAATAACATCTCTAAAGCATTTAAAATCTGTTCATCAACATATGCAGCAGATTAAACAACACTCAAAGACAAAATATAAATCAGAACGCTTTCAATTAATTTCCTTGGTTTGATGAATCACTACATTGCAGCTTTAAATTTAGCTTTTATTTTGTTTTAATTGGAAGCAACTTACCTGTTCTGCATATTTCATGGAAGACTTTTAGTAGAAGAGTTTTAGGGATGCGGCCAGTTTTTCTGACAGAGTTATCCAGTTTATTTAATGCCCAGTCAAACTGCCAGGTCCGTCTGGTTTGAATTTCTGAAATTGGTTCTTCTGTAACACTTCCCTCCTGTTGAGGTGCAACTGTAAGGAACCTTATTTGGTACATAATGTTTCTGCTTAAATAAAAACAAACAAACAAAAAAATAGAGATACACTTCAGTGAGTCATTTTGCAACTACACTAGTCACACAATGTCAAAAAGATAATGTACTTCTTGCTGATGAACAGTTTCTCAGAAACATTCCATATTGATATAAACAAACAAATACAGGTGATTCATTTCAGTGTCTTTCTACTTAAAAAGACATAGTCATGTATATTTTCTCACAGTGACAGCTGTTTCTCTGAGATTTTCAGTTGGATTCACCCCATGAGTTAAATGGTTCAAATACTATTCTCACAAAAATAAAAATTTTGAAGTCATCCAAGTGCTATAAAAGTCTATTGTCCCATTACGGCTTCTCTCAAAAGCTCTCACATGCTTCTGAAAAATCACTCCAAGAACAGTCATAGACATCTCTTCCAGAACACAGCAAATCAAGGCAGCAAATCATACCTTTCTTTTCAATTAAAATACACAAAAACTAATGCAGAGGCCAGTGTTTTAGACAACAATGCCTTAAAGGACAACAGGATCATTCCCCATTCTGCAGAATTTACATTAACAAGCATGAAGCAGCCATCCTGTGATGTAAACCAAACATCAACACTGGATTTGTTTAAATATTTATTTTCTCAAAATAAAGTATGACAACAACAAGAAACATAATGAGAAAGTGTTCTTATTTCTAGGAAAACAGTAAGAGCTTGCCAGTTTTTTTTTTTTTTAAAAAAGAGCAATATGAAAATAGTATTTGTGCCATAGCAAAATTGTGAACAGCCTGTGCAGGTAAAATTATCGTTGCACAGTAGCATTTTTGGAAGTCTGTTCTCAATTGTCCTTACAACTGCATGAAAGAAACCAGACTATCCTCCTCCAGAATCCTATACAAAGGAAGTAATACATGCTGGATGGCAAAAAGAACATTCAGCAACTTCTGAAATTGCCCTCCCTTATCTCTGGCTCTCTAGACAGCTCTTCAGCTAAATTTCTGCAAGATCTCTAAACTAGTTTAAAAAAACCCTAGTAGTTGTACTCCCTGCTGTTACAGATGCTCCAGGAGTCCTACGCAGCAATGGCTGCACATTTTGTTGAAACAGCAGCCTAAAAGTGTGGAATGCTGGCATTCTCTACAAAATTATTTCCCACATCTGGAGCTTTTTCACAGGTATATCGGCTGGTTGGTTTCTCACCAACTGGTGCTAGTTTAAGGCCCTAGGAGAGGAGGTACAGTGGAGGAGAAAAAGCTTGCTGGCAATTCAGTGTTTCAGCAGCACTGGCAGCAAGCTGCTAAACAGCAGAAAAATCATCAGTAAGCTGCATACCAGTGTGGTGGATTTACCATCTGGTGGCCTCTTGTGAATAGGAAGTAGCCCAAAGACCACCTTTTTCCTTGCTGTTTGAAATCCTGATTTGATAACTGAGCAGGCCGTAAGTTCTAGGAGTAAAATCCTTTAAATAAAACCAGCCTGAAGCAGAATCTCTTTCCTAATGGAGCTGTGAAAACAGTTTAGTGGATGTTTGATTTTTGAAGGCATTAAAAAAAAAATCCTTCAGTAATGAGGAACATCACTACCATTTGGCATTATCTTTTTCAAGCAGGCAAATTTTATACTGCCCAATCTCCTTGAGTTTCCTCCTGCAGAATTTTCCAGAGGCCAGGAAATTATCTGGATTTTATTTGACTAGGGAAAGGACAAGGAAGAAAGAATTTGAAAAAGGGAAAAAAGACTGCCAAAAAAGGAGAGATCCCCTCCTTCAGTCTCAGTTCTACGTCCTTCTAGATGCAAGTTCCCACTGATTCCTTTGGGCTAGCTCTCATTTTATTCAGATGCCTCTGTGAGCTTATTTAATTCACTAACCTGGCACAATACCAATTCAGCCACTTCTACAAAAAAACAATTACTGTTTAGAGTAGAAACAGCTCACGATGTCCAAAAAACACCAGAATGAACCGGAAAAAAAGAAATGGAGTAGGAATAGGTGGCTAAAATCAGAGGAACTAGGAAGAAAAAGAAGAAACTGAAATACCATTTTTGGTAGTAAGCAGCTCGTCAGATTAACGCTATCAAACTTATTTTTTGTTGCTAGTAATGTCATGTCTCACTACAAGTATTTCCAAGGGTGTAATTTTCCCTGATTCTTTCCTTCCTTCCTTCTCTTTTCCTTCTACCTCATCATATAACCAGAGACAAGGTACTTTCCTTAAAACAGAAATCATTAGACTAATTAGAGTAAAATCCAGTAGTACAAGGTAAGAATAACAGTAAGATACTAAATCTTAAGTCCTCTTGGGTGTAACAACCAAATGAGATGTCTACAACTTAGATAAACTCTTTAATAAAACATAAATAGCTCACACCCAACTATGAGCTAGCCACTGGATACCTGTAAGAATGATCTGTAATGATTGCAAGTTCTTTATCCGTTTTTTCTTAAAGATATAGATAAAAAAAGACAATGGTATCATCCATTCATACACCCATTAAAAAAGCTACCTGAAAGCTTTTCAGAATACTTCAAGTCAGGTTGGAAAAAATGCTTTGGAAGCAAGCAGCAACACAGGACTTACTGTCTTTGTGACACAGAAATTTATACTTTGATTTCCATCAACAACCAAAGCACAAGTGGACAAAACTATGCTTCAGATTAAAATTGAAATGGCTTTTTCTACAAAAATCTGCTATTGTTTTATAATATTTTGCAAATTGTTGAATTATATCTTATGCCACATAGCACACTTGTAACCATAAACTAATTGATATCTACAATTCTTAAGTCCTGTACTGTTTTAAGAGAGCATCTTTGTAAGATTCTCCATGTGTCAAAAGTCAAACATTTTAAAGCACTTGCACAGCTCCATCAGATTCAGTATGAAGATAACAGTATGTGCATACTCAAAATATTCTCGTTAACAGCATGAGAGGACTCTAAAGCTTCATTCGTTAAAAAACTCCCCCTGCTTAGCATTTAGCATGATGCTGTTTATAACATAAGTTTAGAATATTATACTATATCAATTGCTACAGTTGCACACTGTAAAATATTATACTCTTACATGAAGTGTTATTTTTATACACTAACTTAACCTTCTGAAAGATCAGCAGAATTGGGCATTTCTATTTACCGCCTCCCCCCCC